TTCCTGTTGGCTTGATTCCAGAACACATTTTTGCAACTTCTTTTGTGAAAATAGGCACACAGACAGGTGTTCTAACCTTGTACTACAGGGTGGGAAGTATTTCTAGGAAGTTTACAAATTTTGTAGTGGAATACATTACATATAAAAGGGATGCTCATGAAGATGTCTTGTATCAGCTCCTGTATCAATTCCAACAAAGAAAGTGTTCATTTGTTAGCAGTTTTACAGGGCAGCACTCTGCAGCAGAAGATGCTTCCTTGTGTAAGTATGCAGTCTGAGTGGCTGAAAGGTCAGAATGACACCTTCTTTGCAGATACAACTGGCCCCTTTGCAATACAAATGAATCTGTACAGACGCTGAGTTTGCTCTGGAAAAAAGTGATGAAACACTTATGTGCCTTTAAACTGGACAAATATTTCTTATATGCATATATTTGATGTTTGTTTCATGCAAATCCAACAAGGCAGAAACAAACTTGCACTAGTTCACAACAGGAAAAAGTATTTCATAGATAGGCATCGCTCAAGAAAGCCAACTTACAGAGCCTTTCAAATCTAAAAATGCTACAGTTGCTAGCAAAACCTGCTGTAATCCTTCTTTAGATGGAAGCACCCCTTGTAGACCCTGTCATAATCAAAGCAAAGCAGGACATTATAGAAACACTTTTAGCTGCTTCCACAGGAATCCCTTTTTAATGTTGCACCTGACAGGACAAACATACTCCCTGATTTTTTCCACAACTTTGTCCCTGTCCTGCAAAGTGCTTAAATATAGGCTTAAATTTAAGTATACGAGGAGTACCACTGGAAACTCCATCAGTATAGAGCATATAATTGTGTTCTTCACTTGATGGGGACACTGTATTAGGCCATTGCAACAACCATGGGAACAGAAAGAAGTCAGTCAGGAGTTAGGAAACAAAAGCAAGTTAAAACCACAGAAAAGAGCTAAAGGGCATGAGAACCAGTAGAATCCTTCCTGCTAATGACATGAGAAAGGAGGAACTCCACCAGCTTACCTGTTCATGCCAAATTAAATATGCTTGAGCAGGAGTCACAAACAGTGCCCTTCTGCCTGTAGAATGAGTTTATTTAATAACAGAATTCTAGAAGTATGATACACTGATGATTGCACAATGATATTTTAGGGTAATTTATTGTAAAACAAATAAACGACTGTCATTTTTGTAACAGTATTACTTACCTTCCCCTTTCAACTGCCAAGGCATCTATTTCATCAAAGAAAAGAATTGAAGGAGACACTGCTCTGGCTTTTCTGAAGATCTAGAACAACAATGAAACACTCGGTTTTAATGGATGGATTTAAACAGAACATTATCACCCACCACACACTCCAAAAGTTAAAGAAATCATAGAACAAACATAAGTCTTGCAGTCTTTTTTTTTTTTTTTTTAATAGACCTTTCAGTAGATATTCATGACACTGTATGACAAAGGCTTACAGTTGTACTGAATCCTGAATTTGACATGGATCACTAGGCCAGGGCAGGAGGAGAATAAACAGCACAGAATGTCCCTTGTTTTTTTTTCTTAAAAACTCAAACTGCAGGAGGCCTTCTTGGAAAGTTTAAAGGTAACCTTATAAGCCCAGAAAAAAAAAAAAAAGATTTTTTTTTTTTTTTTTTACAAAAGCTTAATGTATAACATTATGCACAGTTTGCACCTTCTCACCTCTCTCACTGCTCGTTCAGACTCACCAACATATTTATTCATCAGCTCGGGTCCCTGAAAAATTAAAAAGTGTATATATTATATTTATATACAAAATGACTTAGACAATTTATCAATGTTACCTTACTGATAGGCTGTTAGGAAGATTTTTGATATTTTCTCACTTGCAAAAGTCTTAATTGTGCATTTTTCAGCTTCCTATCTATCCATTCTGTTTTCTCCCATTTGTCATAGAACTTTGCATACATGAAACTATGCTTACAGATCAGTATTTTATCATAATGTCCACCTAATATTTTCTGAAAAACAGAATTAACAAAGAAAACAAACAAAAGAAACACTCTGGGGTTACTGAAAGTTGCTAGCTCAACAGCAGCAGCAGCCGAAGGGTTGGCATTCCCCCAAAAAGACGCATTACAGAAAAGCATTCACCTGTACACTCAGCAGGCATCCTATCCATCCAGGCACCAAAACATCAACCTAAACCCACAGTTAAAAACATTTCTTTGAACTTGTCAGTTTTCAGGTTTGGAAGGAAGAAGCTGCTCTACAAGCACACCTGAAACACATCCATAAGGTGCCATATGCAGCAAGCACAGCAGTTGTCGCACGTCTCAGCTCATCCACATCCATTCCCCTCTCTCTCTTGAGGCCCAAGTACAGTTGTTAGGCTGATTATACTCAGCCCTGCCCACTTGAAACCAACCTAAGACTATAGGGTCAATATTCAAGTTTTAAAACCAGTACTATCCAAAAATTGAAACAATGAAAAATACTCGGAGCGTTTTCTGTCCTGCTAAATCCCTGAGGACAGGCTTCTACAAAAACTCTTCTTCATGGGACCATGACTTCCATTGGATTGGTAATAACGATGGTAAAAGCTTGGTCTGCATCAACCTTGACCTACAGGTGCTACCAACGATGACCACCTGGTGCCCTGAATGAAATGAGCCAGTGGCTCCCCGTCTCTTTTGCAGGGCACAAATGAGCTGAGA